CATTTGTCTTTATCTTTTTTTTTTTTTTTTTTTTTTTTATTTGAGTTTCGGAGTTATCGTGACTTGGGATAAAAATTATTTAACCGACTTTTTTCAACATCAGTTGTTTTTAAAGGGCTATCGCACAGAAATGCGGTTGTCAACCCATCAACATTTATCGACTTCATTGAATTAAATAGAAACTTAGCGTTTTAAATCAACTGTTTTGTCTGTATTATTAGAGTGGAGCGACAGACATTAAAGAATTTTCTTAACCACGTTTAATATAAAAAAATTCATGAAACACGGTGATCTACGATTGGTCTCTTCAATCTAAAAGAATCAAAAGCTTTTATGACTATTTTCTCGAGCTTTGAACGTGTCCTTTTGAATGATGAAATTTCTTCAGCTTTTTTACAATTTCCCGCATCGAGATCGAATCAATTTTTATATTTACAGACGGTCCTCGCGCGGTACGTACCTTCATGATCTCCGCGAGGAATCGACGTGAGGAGACCCCTTTCGTAAACTCGTGGATGTGCAGATATTAAAACCCTCGAACGTTCACGGCTGCCGTCGACCTCTCTGCGACATCGCACGCGAGAAATGTCACGCGGAACGGACGCGATCGCGAAGAGTTTATCCGCGAGGTATCGAGCTGTCGACTCCGCGGGCACCGCCGTGGCGATCGTTAAGCGCCATGCGAGGAGGCGACCGCGACGCGCGAGAGGAGCACCATAATATACACACGGGAGAGAGTCGGTCCGCTCCGGGCCCTCTCGGTATAATAACGTAACGTCCCGGTTCTCGCGCGCGCGCTCGTCCGCGGACGTTGTACGGACGGCACACAGGCGTAGGGCGAAGCGCGACGCGAGTAGTACGCATACGATCGCCGTAAACCCTCTCCCACCCCTCTATGTCGCCCTGTCCGCCGAATGGGCGGCATGGGCGCGATGGGCGGGATCCAACCCCCGTGGCTGCGATTCGCCCGTGGTCGCACGTTCGGCCCACCATCACGGGGAGAGGAGAGAGGAGAGGACGGGAGAGCGCGAGAGAGGGCACAAAGGTGGCGCTGCCACGCGGTCGCAATTCGCACGCGTCTCTCCCCCACTTGAATCGACGAGCGTGTCAGCGTGGATGAGAGTGATAGGGGCACGGCGGCGCGTCTCACTGATTGGCCGCGATCTCGCGTCTCGATCCGCGGAAGAGAGAGAGAGAGAGAGAGACCTGTCCCTCTCTCGTGTCGTCTAGTGAGAGGTGACGTTGATGGGAGAAACTGGGAGGACGGTTGGAGGGACGGCGGGGGAAAGAGGAAGGGGAAGATATGGAGAGCATGGGACAGTTACTCCGTACCGATGCTCACGTTAATTTGCAAAAAAACAAATGATACATATTACATGTGTATATTATTAATTCGAGCGTAAATAAAATGGTTTTCTTCTTTCGTCGGGATTTTCGTAGGATTCTTTCTCCAATATCGAGGAAGAGAATCAAAAGTTACTTTGACCAAACTTCCGATTAAATTATCGAGTAGTTTTATTGACATGGATCGAATTATTAATTCTTAGTCGTCTCCGATGCATCGAGAAGATTAGATCGGGAATGACGAGTTATACAGTTAATAAATTTCCTTATAGGCGAGTCCGTCAGTCGGTCACCGATTAGAGTTAAACAGAATGTGGCCGAAGTCGCTTTAAGGGGGTTGGTTCGCAAATCATCAGGCGCGTTCTGGCTTTTCAGTACCTTCCTTTATCGCGACGCGAGGTT